CATTATAAAACATTGTTGGTACATATTTGACAATTAAATGTGTGACTTTTCTCTTTTGATCTTTTCTCCACTCAATATTAAATTCGTATTAATTAAATACGTTACTATCGAAAGGATCTAGTATCGGGCGATTCTTTTATAACCTACCAAGTTTCTTCTACAGATGTATTATTTATTTTGAGGCAACACATAAACAAGTTTAAAAATAATAATTTTATTACATTTTAATTCCACCAACTTATTTTCAGGTTAATTTCTATTAACTAACTCATGGTATAATTTTTAACGTTACACATTTTTTAATCCGATCACTACACAGCCTAAACACTGACCACTGCCGGCCCCTTAATTTTTTTATTTTTAAGACTTTGCTGAAATAAGTGTGAACTGAATAAAGGTAATCAATTTTACAGAATATCATCCTCTTAAACGAAATAAACTTTGAAGATATTTATTTTTTATTTTATTTACACTAGAATATTCTAAAAAAACCTGAAAACATATGCTTAGTTAAAATCAATAGAAACGCACAAAATGGTGTTATAATTTTTTAATGTTTGTGTTTAGTTTAATTAATTAGTTTAATTGTTTAGTTTAATGTTTATTGTTTTTTTTTTGCAGTCACAGGTCTCATTTAATTTATCTATTATGTAGATTCTATATTTAATACAAAACAAAAAACATGAATATTATAATCACATATTTGAGCGGCATGGCACAAGGGCAGCCTAACCGATTCAATAATGTTCAAGAAATGTTTGTAGCGCCAAAAAAACTTTAAAGGGGTTGAATTATTTTGAAGGTTACGCTGTTCTTACTTACTAAATTTGAGTTACAATTGGTGACTTAGGTATGTAGACATTTATTGAGACCTAGGTATCTAAATAACATATTTTTATAATTAATAACAAATCCATTTTTTACTATTAAAATTTAAAAAAAAGGTTTACTTAAAAAAACAATACAAGTTATTTAATAAAAAATATTAGATAAAATTAATATTGTTTCTGTTCTAGATTGTACCCGGGAGCCCACCCCTCTTATGTACGCCATGCCACTGTGCGTCTGAATGTGTGTATTTTATGTATATTTTTTGAGACAAATTTTTAAAAAAAAAGATTAATAAAAATTGTTTACGGACGTTAAAAATATTAATACTCCCTTTGACATAAGTCTACGTTGTAGGTTCTCTCGAATGATTATTAGTTGCCTTTAAATCAATTGTTAATAAAATATAACTATTGAGACTAAACAATAAATGTAATAATTTTAGTTTCATACGTATTCGTTTTTTGTAGATTGCCAAATAAAACCCACTAATTAATGTAGTTGTAATGTCGATTTTTAAATGTTATTTAATATTTCTTTAATATCACGAAACATATCATAACATAATCATTCTATATATTGTAATCTAATTCTGAACATGTTTAATTTGTACTTACACAGCGGTCAAGGTTAAATAATGGGTAGAAACGTGGTAATTGTTCTTGTATAATTGTGTTGCAAAACAGTTGTATATTAATACAACATACGTGGACTCTGGAACTGTACTGTTGTGACATTTAAAATATAGTTATACAAATACAGCAAATGAAAATTTGAATGTAAATAAAAGGTAGTAAATAAAACATAATATTGGTAGTTATAAAATTAAAACATTTCTGAATGACTTTTTTTATTGTCACGAACATGTCAATATAGGTATCAGGATTAGGAGAATTTAATAATATCCGAATATTGAGGACTCGAAAATAATTGGAAATTGTGTATGGGACACCAAACATAATTACCATTTTTGACATATTAAATATTTTATAGAATACAATTATATGTAAATATTAGTGCAAACATTTAGCGTATAGTATAGCGTCTTTATTTTTAGATGTTTTCATTACTTTTAATAAGGCATTTTAAAATTAATCAAGCCATAATCAATATAAACTAATAAAATCGTATAACTATTTATATGGAAATCGGTACATAATCTCTAATATTATCGGAACTATGCATCTTAATTTGTTTGTGACTACCTACAAAACCATTAATGATTAATCACTTAAACTATATTATAAATATTAATATATTTTAATATAAAATTAACAACAACTTTTATACTTGTAAAAGTAATGATTTTTATTTCTTTACTTAGCTGATAAGTGCTCGTTATGTAAACGCAATGTCAGAATATGGGTCAAAAGAGTTGTATGATTGTTAACATAGTTATGGGAATATCCGAACTAATCAAATCCGGATTTGACTGGTTATCCGGTATTTTGGATTCTAATTGTTTTTTTTAAAAGTTCAATAATATCTACATTTATTGTTTTATATTATACACGTCATAAAATCCGGATTTCAGTGCCATATCTAATGTTTATGTTATACGTATGCTGTGTTTGTAGTTTTCACTTTAAGTTCATTATCTTATTGTAAGAACGCTTTAAGAATCACCAAATATATATATACAGTAGTACATTTTTCTAAATATTTAAATTTTAATCTTTAGCATTAAGGTTTCTTTTGTACGACCTGACAATTGTACTACTTATATAAGTGGAAATTTGTTTGCGGCTCCCTATATATAAAGTAAATTTAATAGTTATATCATTTGTATTTGTTTTTTATTTAATTGAACAGTTTATTATTGCTAACATAACAATACAATCTATAATTTTCTTCGTAATAAATAATTAACCTAATAATAACCTTAGTCCTTATGAATAATATGGATCAACTCAAATTTAAAAATATAACATTTAAAGAAGTATTCAGTAAATATATTGTTATATTTAACCCAAGAGTCACCTAACCAAAACATATATTTATATATATAACATTTGTATGATTACAACTTAATTTTATTACGGACTTTGTATACGTGTATACATGTCCTTTGTTTATGATAAATAAGGTAACGAAACCAATATTTGATCGACAATTTTTCTATCGATGTTATGTCTGACTCGATTGTTTTTGACACTATCATTTATTTTGTAGCTATTTTTATTTTTCGGGCTAACGCAGCATCTTTGACAGTGATTTTAAAAACAAATGACATGTAAACATAACTACGCAGAATGCATTTTACTCGGTCCATAATGATTTTAGAGCAAAAACACTAATTATAAAATCGAAAGATAACAGTATTTCGAAGACAATTTCTTATCTGATTTTAAAAATAAAAACTTTAAAAAAAAAAAATTTGATTTTAAATGTTAAATATTAAGTTTATCAAAAAAAAAAAAATGATATGTAATTGTTTCCAAAATGTTGTCATCTTTTGTTTTCGTTATAAGTATTTTTGCTCTAAAATCACAAAATATACAAGAAATATAAGGTTCACAATGTGTGATTTATATTTAACAGTTTGTGATTGGTTTTTCTTTATATGTTGGAGCGTAGTCATATCTCCTTCATTAACTTGTGACATCGGTGAGATTTTCTGACAAAGAGTATGTCAATTTGCAAAGCTTGTGATGTTCTTCATTCATCTTACATTATGTTAGAATGTGTTTGACTGTCAGTAAGAAGTTGCAAGTAACCAGTAGGGCCATAATGGCGGCTCTTCTTTTTTCATCAGGTAGTCATATAAAATTCTTGTATGGCCTATCCTTAGGTGGTCTATGATCACTTCTTCTCTTCTGGACAATGTATTGTTGGGCCAAAAGTCAACGTGAGTTTTTATTGACATTTTCATGCCTTAGCTCTGGCACATAATCGAAAAAAGCGTAACGAAAAAAGCGTTCGTTACAAAAGCGTTCTTTACAAAAGCGTTACAAACCGTTACAGGGTAGGATATGGGGGTGGGAGATAAGAAATATGTTGTACGTTCAACGTTCAAATTAGAACTAAATGATAAATTCAAAATAGTTTAATTCTCTATGTTAAGTTATTTTTGGCCAGATAAAAAACACTACAATTTTAGCCAGAAACTTGATTGTACATAATTTTTTAATCTCCTTGGCCTAATGTATTCGGTACTACAACGAGACATGAAAATGCTCTTTCGTGTTTGCAGACTCGGCTGAAAAACTTTTTCGGTTAATTCTTTTTAGTTTTGAGTCAGTCCTATCCCATTCATTTTGCCATAATATATTGTGTATTTTTAGTTTGCTTATTATTCTGAACTTACCAGTCAAATGTACTACAGTTAGTAGGCGGCCAAGAATATAATTTATGCAATAATATTATACTTACCTCTAGGCTTTTTAAGGTGCCTAATCATTTCTATCATTTGTGACCACCATTAGAAAAACCTGTGTGTGTTTTTAAAGGCATACAAATTGTATGTACCTCGGGTCTGGGGGGGGGGGGTGTAAAAACTTATCTAGCTATTGCGAATATTATTGGCTATTTTAAAAAATGTATAGACCGTAATATTACGTTTTTATTGTAACATTTGACAAGAAATAGTTATTTACATACCTAAAAAAGTGTTTAAAACCAAATGAAAAAATAAAGACACGTCAAACTTCACATTAGTTTCTCCGAAACAACAACATATGCACGGATCTATTTTTACTTATCCTGTTTCTCGACTCTAAAACGGTTCTCTGAATTATCACTTTTAAAAGCCAAATCTTATTTCTTAGTTTTATGACATAAAAATAATGTTAAATACAATTAAACATAAAACAGTAATTTAAAGACTATTGTTTGTGAGCAAAATCATTAGTTTTATATGATACATCATATATACTGTCGTATACATAGATAGTGTTCATAAGCTTAACAATCTTACAATACAATACTACTATTGTCGCTACTTTCATATGAATATATGATATATACGTTCAATTGTGTATTACTATAAGTATATTACTAGTAAACACGTTAGAGAGATGGATGCACTAGGAATAGGACGTGTCTTCTAACAATGTTTAATGCAGTGTAAACTAAACGTTTTTGTTACTGATATCATTATTCCCACCATAGTAGGGCACACATCATGTTATAAGTGGTTAATTGGAAGTTTAAAAGAACACTGAAGCAGAAGGCACATTTATTGTGGTGTAACGTTGGCAGTCTATCGGGTCAGGGTCTAAGTCCGCCGCTCAGTCGTGTGTGTAATACATTTAGTGTATGTATTTAGTGTATGTAAATCCTATTAAAATTGTGCGATGAACGAAACAAGTTTAATGTTTGCGAATTTTTCAATTTCGTAGTACTTAAACGGGGAAACATACATTCGAATCTAAGTTGGAACTTTTCGATTTCAACATAAAAGGTAAGAAGCTTTTCGTTTAAAAAAAGTTGGATACATAGTTCGGTATTGGTAATTTTTAACACTCTATTCGAGTGCTTAATACAATTTAAGGATCAGAATTTGCGTGCTTTTAATTACTTGAATCTACTTGATATTTAAGAAAACAAATTTATCAACTCATTCCTCTTGACGTTTAAGAACAGAAAACAAATTAACTCGTAAAACATCATGGTTTTATAATTTTAACTAAATAGGTTAATTATTATTTTCATCTCGGTTCTAAAAATGTGATGTGTCCACATCAGTTAGGACCCGCGCAGCAAAGGTTAGCCATGTACTATTTCTTGTAAATATAACACAAAGACCGTCAAAAAGTTGAATTTGTTAAATAACTCTTATAAACATAATAAGAATGACCATAGCATTGGTGTACTATATAATAAACATAATGCAATTTGTAAAGTGTTGTGCGAAAATTGAGAGCACACCAGAAGGACAATAATAAAGATAGCTTGTCACGTTTACTAAGTGTAATCAGTTCAAGGATGGACATAATCAACTTTTATAATAACTAATAAGTATAGCAATGTTATTTATAAGATCCAGAAAAAACGCAATTTTTACAAACAACTTAAAAATAGCACAACCCTCAGATATGATATGATAGTAGACGCGATTCTTCAAATATTTGGAATAAAACTCATCTGTTTTATGATCTCATTTGAATACTATTATTTTTATCTTTCAGTTTCCTCGAGCGCATTTTTGACATTTAATAATGAACTTTCAAAACCAATATTATTTTGTACAAGAAGATAAGTACCAGAAAATCTTTGGTAACTGCCATTTCGCTTGTTCAATATTTTGGTTGCCGGTAAGAGTTTACTACATCTTAATACATTATAGTATTACAAAAACATAATACATTCTTCATAAACTATGTTCTATTTATACTAAGGACCGTCCATAATGCATAATCTTAATTATTTATACTCAAATCAACTATTGTAACATTTTCCTATCGTTTTGATAAATGCATATTGCCAGTGATTAAAAGTTAAAAGACTATAAAATCTCTTTTTTTTTATTTTCTTAAGTTACTAATGAACAATATGTATTTTACAGCCAATCAAAGAGTAAATTATAAATATACAAACTGTATACATTCTAATTACAAACTTGTAAGTTCAATGATTTTCCGTACGACAGCATATAAATAGTATGACGTCAATACGATAAAAATTAAAAATTGTATATTAGTACAAATCGCTTGGTTTTACTCGATTAAATTGCGTACTATAAATTTGGCTTACGCTTTGTAACTAGTTAATCATTTTTATATTCTCTGCCTAAGGTGCATTCATTATAATTATCACTAATGAAAATGTTATTGACTGGAAACGTGTAGAATTATAAATTGATTGGTACCAGTTCAAGTGTTTTTGTTTTGTAAACATCCCCGGAGAAGGTATTTGTCCATCTCACAAACAAAATACTATTATTTTGTTATGGCTAATTGTTGACACATGTTAGATCTAAATATGGAATTAATGTTCACCTCATTACTTTTGAAAAATTAAAAACATTTGTTAAGAAAGGTTAGTTACATAGATTTTTTATAAAAAATTAGTAGAACATAAGCGTATATTACTATTGTTTTATTTTTGATGCCTACTTATAAGTTTATAATTTCAAACTTTGTTATATTCTGCTTTCCGTTTTAAGTACAGGAATTTGTTTTCAACTTTATCTTAGTATTCGCCGCATTATGCAAGTTTAATAATCTGTATAGTTTAAAATAATTTAATAAACTATAATTCCTACAATATAAATAACAATTATCATTTATATATATTATATATTTTTAAAAAAATGTATTGGTAATCCCTGTATTATAACCGCAACTTTGATAAGTTTAAACTTTTATAGCCGCAAATTAGTAATAATTATTAGGTAGGAATAAATTAATTAAGGAGTATAAATTGTTAGAAAATATGATTATTTGTACCAACATTTTAATAGCTTTGTTAAGGTTAATAATAACGTTTTAGAATGGAATTTATATTATTAAAACATTTATACAAGCTGAGGTTGAGAATTTTTTATCTGTGGTCATGGTTTTGAAGGTTTCCCGTAATGCGATAACTCCGAAAGGCACCTCTATCAATTAATCATCTGATCGTATTGCTATTGTTGTTTTGTAGGGTCAAAAGTTAAAAAATCTTAAAACATAAACTATTACATTTGTTTAGACAAAACGTAGCAAACTAGTGATTTTTGTAATCATATACAAAAGGTAATCTGTGGCATAAGGGAATGAAGTAGGTATCCATGATTTTTTTATTATTCTAAATATCCAACAATTACATAGAATTTTTGAACTTTTAGTATATAATATAACCACAATTACACTTGCTTATCTGACTTCCATATACGAGGTAAACATTTCATTCATCGTACTACACTGTAGGAAGTAGTGCATAGTTTCCTTGTTTTTTATTTTCAGCTTTTAAATGTTAATTCCTCACAAAAATATATTATCTTATAATTAAGCTTTTAATAGTACATATAATATATATATTAAAATCATAAGATATTTTATAATAGTGCATAGCTTACAATTGAATTATTCATTTAAAATCCTCATAAGTGAACTAATGCAAAGAAGTGTTATATTAAAATGAAATGAAATTACAATTAAATCAAAATATCACCCTAAAAATATCTATCATAATTCATAACCTAAATAAAATCATCTTTGAAATGTAACTCATAACACTTATCTCATTAACTACAACAATATGTATAATGTATTGTTATTTGCTTTCGTGGTTTATCAAATTTTTGAAATAGTTCAGTTAATATACTGACTTCAGCCTTTTTCGAAATCATTGATTCTATAGCTATAATAGTGTATGATTGTTTTCGTCGATAATAATAATTTTGTTATCAACTTATTTTAAGTCTTTTATTATGTTTAAAATTAAACATAATTAAGTATTTAATAATATGATTAAACGACCTGATTAATATACATAAAAATAGGTACGTATTATATAAACACTGAGCACACTAATTATCATAATATATAGCTATAACACTAAATATGTAATTGAATACCATATGTAATGTTATTGTTGTCTAAATAACTGTACAGTGTACACGCCCAATAGTCATTGGCAAACTGTTATCGCATTAGGTAATCGTTTCTCTTATTATTTTTGTTCTCACTTATTATTGATTATGGATATTATTTTTTTCGTTTATAATACATTATGAAATCTATATGAAAATTCCTTATGTACAGGATGTTTTGCCAAGCACGTTTTTATGCGTTTTTTTGTTAAACAACAATAACTTTGCGTAAAACCATTTGATACCAAGTATTATCTAGCAATATTCATTATCGGATACCTAAACAAATTTAAAATCGTTTTATGAGATAAATTTAAAGCCTTAAAGTATGGACTTATTTTCTCTATTATTTAATTAAAATTGTAACGTTGGTTTCTCTAAAAACAGGCATAGGTACAAGCACAGCATTATGCAAGAAAAGCAATTAAAACGGGGAATTTCAACATAACTATTCCCTTTGTTTTGGATTTTAAGTTCGTTTTTCAATTACCTTCTTATACCAATAGTTTATCTACACGATCATATTATAATATACATTGTACTTTTAATGTTTAACCATTTATTATTTTTTGTGAATGCGGCTACGGTATGTTCTTTATCCAGCCAACAACACCAAAGCTAATGTTTAAAACTTCATTAGTAGTAGAAGTATGATCTTAACACTTTTGTGGGCCAATTCGCGCCTGTTCTAATCAAGTCGCTTTATCTTAGCCTAGCCAAGCCAATTAGCGAAGTTAGCATGTTTCGTTATAACCTTAGTTATTGCCAGTACTTTTAATTCATAGGTAAATTATTATTTTTCACGATCGTTTTCATAGTAGAGTATGAAATATATTATAATAGTGTGTCACCCTGTATAATGATCGCACGCGCTGATTCTTAAAATAGATGCTCGTGATATTGCGAAACGTGGATGCACATTTTTGACAAGACTCTCGCACGCAATGGGTCAGCGGTTGAAACCATACAAAAGGGCAGGGGAAAGGTGTAATACTACAATGTTTTTTTAAACAAACGTTAAACCGGAAAATAACAAACAAGTTTCAAGGTGCAGCTAGCAAAAACATAAAAACAACATACATCGTAAAAAAAAAAAAAAATACTGTAATACTAAAATAATGATGTGATTAACAAATGAGCTTTTTGTTAAATGTTTATGAAAAAAATATGTACTAATACGTGTTTTTGGGAATCGGTATTGTATAATACTAGAGACTATTTTTAGTCAAACGTACTTGACCCTGATGCCGTTGACCTCTATTTATCCCTTGAAAAATATAATGTAGTATTGTAATAATTGAAACTAAAGCAGCGTAATATTGTAAGCGCAGACTTAAAGAACTACTTAGTTAATAATAAGCCTCCGAATAGGTTATCACTTTTATAAAATCCATTTGAGTTTTATTGCCTTTTCCATGTCTTTAAATCCATTTTAATTATTATACTTCTTTTAATTACAGCAGCGGTGCGTTTAATTTCAAATTTAAGCGCAAAATTATTATACTAATGAAAATTTATTTGTAGGATATAGTTATCATCAAGAGGGGCTTGGTCCCTTTGACCCCTCCTAATTGTGTCTCTAAATGACAGTATTGTTAAATTCAGAATTACCTCTTTGTTAATAATGTTTTATGTATTACAAATACGAAATTAAAATTGCCTAAATACTCATATTCAAGTACTTTACAGCGCTGAATACAATATATCTTAAATAATTACTGTTTTAATATATACTAATTATTTACTATATTTTATTAAAATAATTTACTGCCTCCAAGCATTAGCAACTAAAACATAAGTTTTTCAGAAAATGTTTTATTATTATTCACTTGTACAAAAAAAAATATTCAATAGCGCCACTGTGTAAAAATACATAACTCATAAATTAATATTTTTAAATGTATTGCACCTTTGCATTCCATCATAATATTATAAGTATTTTTGCTCTTTGACCCTAAATGTGTTACACAGTACGTTCTAATGTACCCAGATCAATATACAGTAACTTTTATGTATTTCATTATAAATATGCAATTATATATCGATCCGCAAACAACCTGAAAACAGAATATCAATTAATTAGATTGATATCGAACAATAATTAAGCCTTAGTTGAACTATAATTTAAGATATCGTGAATTCACTTTGAGAGGTACCGGCTAGCTCGATAGATGAACATAGACAATTTAGTTTAAACCCAATTACGTATAACCCGACTTTGTATCTTTATACCTTTTGACGTCTTGGTTTAACAAAAAACAGCGATCACAGAAATTCTATCGTCTAATAGAAAAAACAGTTGTAAACCGGTTGTTGCAATAACTTGTATAAGTAAAACCATTGAAGTTAAAACAATTTTCACGCGTTTAATTCTAATGTAATATCATTTGAAAGTAACAAAATAGCATATAGAATATTATTGGGTGTAAACGGCACCTAACCCCCAATAACAATAATTAAAAATAAAAAATAAATACTCGGTGTACATAAAATATAAAATATGCTGACTAAGTACGGAAAGTACCGTATCATCTTACCGACTACAAATCATATTACGGTGTTTTATTTACAATTGTAACACTTGCCCTTAAACAATATACCCATTTATTGCACCAATATTATCTGCCCGAATTCCTGAAATCGAGTTTGCTGTTTGTGGAATCGGCTTAGTCATAATGTCAAACTGATCTTCGCTGGCTTTATAACTCTAACGAAAACCAACTCTCGTTGAACCTTTTA